ATGCAATATCAGGAGGAAGCATACCTTTGTTCATCATTTCAGTAAGCAATTCCTTTGCTTTCACCAAATCGCCGTGTGTACAAAAACCCTGGATTAGGGAACGATAAACAGCTGTGCCCTGTCGTACTCCTGTATCAATCATCTGATTAAACTTTATCACAGCATCGTCCAACCTACCCTTTTTGCAAAATGCATGTATTATGGTTGAATATGTGACTGCATTTGGACTCACTCCTTGTTTCTGCATTTCATTGAAGATAAGCATGGCCTTATCAAGCTTCCCAGATTTAGCATGTGCATTAATCAGTATGTTGAAGATACGACAGTCAGGTAGAATGCAGTATCTTTCCATTGAATTGAAGAGATTAATCATATCAACTAAGCATCCTTCGGTGGCATACCCGTGAAGGAGAATAGCATATGGAACGTTGTTATGTTTCAGGCCCTTCTTAGCCATGGTATCAAAAATTCCTGCAGCTTCTTTGCTTCTTCCATGTTTGCAAAGAAAGGTCATAAACATGTTGTGAGTATGCACATTTGGTTTAACCCTCCGACTTGTCATCTCTTTGAATACCCTAACTGCCTCCTTCCAGTGGCCTGAAGAGGAATATCCATGGATGAGGCTATTATATGTCACATTATCAGGTACGACACCATCATCAACCATCTGACGAAGGAAATACTCTGCCTTGTCCATGGCTCTGGCCTTGCACAGCGCATCAATAACCGAGTTATATGTCACCAAACTAGGCGCAACGCCCTGCTGCGCCATTTCATGGAACAAGCTGCACGCCTTGCCTGCTTGGCCTTCTTGGAAGAAGCCATGGATGACCGTGTTATATGCCACCACGTTGGGGGTGCAGCCTAGCTCAGGCATCCTGTGAAGCAGAATGTCCAGAGCCTCATCAGCCCGCTTTGCGCGGCAGAGTCCCTTGAGAAGAGTGTTGACTTCTATGACGCCTGCCTTGAGTCCCGTCCTGAGGAGACGGCGAAGAAGGCGAGCGCCAGATCCTGGCGGTTTGCGTGGCAGCAGCAGTCCATGAGGATGCCGTAGGTGCAGGCCGTTGGCTGCACCACCCGTTGGCGGGCACCTTGGGACAAACGGCTGAAGAGGGCGAGGGCAAGGGCGGGGCCGTTGCTGCAGGCTGCGGACGCAGGCGCGCGAGCCAGGGCGGTGAGAAGGTCGTTGGGAAGGCGCATGTTGACCGGATTAGCCTGCAGGAGCAATTGGTCGAACAGCTTGTGTGCGTCCTCCGAGGTGAGGTTGCCAGATCGAGCTCGCTCCGTGGCAGCAGCGAAGGCGGCGTGGGGATCCCAGCCCTGGCTGCGTGAGGGATGCGAGGTGGAGTAGGAGTGGCGGGCATGGAGGCGGGGCCGGAGGCGGAGGCGGAGGCGGAGTGGCGACATTAGCTGCGTGGTGGTCTGGTGGAGGAGAGGCAAGTTCGTCCCAGGTTCCGCTTATATAGTTCGTCCAACTAAGTAGTGGTTGATTGTTTTTTTGAGCTATGGATAATACTACCTCCATTCCTAAATGTAAGTCTTTCTGAAGATTACACTATGGACTACATACGGATCAAAATGAGTGAATCTACATTTTAAAATGTTTTTATATACGTCCGCACGTAGTTTGTAGTGGAATTTCTAAAAAGACTTATATTTAGGAACGAAGGGAGTACATACAATATAGTATAAAAACAAACTGTTGTTTCAAAAAAATTTATTTTCTGATAGATATTGAATTCCTTATATATTATACTATACTCATTTAGGAATACAAAGTAAGTCTCGACCTCGTTAAATAAGCCCCGCCGCTCCGCCGCGTGACGAGCGCCGCCGCCGTGCCCCACGCCACAGCACAGCGTCCTCCCCGAGCAGCCGCGTCCCCCGTCGCAACCCACAGCAGGAGGAGGAAGATGAGTCCCCGCCGCCGCCAACACCGGCCGGGCTTTGCCCGGCGGTGCCTCCGGGCGGCGGCGAGGGAGGGGAGACCGGGGGGGAGGTGGCTCGAGAGGGGCGGCTAGGGTTCGCCCGGCCTCTCACGGGAGAGGCGCGGGGCGAACGAGTTTTTCTTCCCGTTTTCTCAAGGACATTAATTACCATCCCTTACCAAGCCTTTTACACTGATTGGAATTATTATAAGATGCAAATCACCAAATCAGTCGCATGTTTGTTCAGAGCAAATATATGATTCAGATCCAAGGCAGGTAAGGTCTCCGCAAAAGAAAAAGGTCAGGCAACAGCCAGCTAGCTTCTGGGATAGTATATTTGAAAGAACGCTTCTTTTTCAGAAAATACTTGTGTGATTTCAGGTACAAGACACACATGACCCCAAAAAAACAGTTTATAACGTTCTTCTTACTCTGAAAACACACCAATGTTCTTTCTTTGTCTTCAAAATACTACAACACACCTTACAACATTTGATTGCTTTACAACAAGTCAAAAATCCAAACGCCAAACAGAAAAAGAATACTCAGTATCTTTTTATTGTCTTCATCGATACGATGAGTCGGCAGACTTGGAGCTCCCTCCAACTCAATCAGCTATATCTCAACACCCAGTACTGCTGTCAACAACAGAGTAACATCATCAGTATTGCAAAAAAGAATAGATGAACTGACGAGTTATCTTGTTCTGGCTGAGCAATGTGTGTGCCATGACGACAAGTTCATGTAGGTTCCATGAGAAATTCTTGCAGTGCATATACATGAAAAATGTTGTGCAGGACCTGACAACGTCAGATTAGGTACTACTCCGTATATGTGATTATCTTGGTGTTGATATATTGGTTTGTTTCTTTGTCAGACCATGCACATTTGTATATTATCAGTAAAAGAAAGCATCATTAAACTTGTGGCTATGCTTCTCTAAAAGGGAAATGTATGCTTGTCCATACAAGTCTCAGATGTGCCCTAACTACCATGTGTCGGATTGGTGGGACATGATGCTTGCAAACCAACCAAATTAAGTGCGTCGGCGGCACAGCGGGATGATAATCTACACCTTATGGTCAATCTGGAAGGAAAGAAATAGGTGTGTTTTCACTGGACTACGGATGGCGCACTGTGAGGTCGCAATGTTGGCCTTCGAGGCAATTAAGCAACGAGAGTTGGCGGGGCATGTCAATATAAAACGTGCGCCACTCTATACATTGCGTTTTTCGCTCTTCTATAAGAAAAGGCAGTGCTTCTATCAGTTCCTAAAAAAAAGCTCTAGGTGCAGGCCTGTAATTTAGCTGGTCACGCGATTATATATTTGGCGCCGCTTGGAACCTCGAAGGGGCACCAATGATGGAGACACGTAAAATGAACAATGATGGAGAATTACTAGCAAATTCTCGTATATCTTAGCTTAATCAGTGCGATACAGTTTCTTTCAAATGCATGGGTCCGCTTGTCCCTGGGCATGATCCACGAGGGAATAAAATAAAAAAATAAAAACATGTTTGCTAGTAATTCTCACTCCATCTTTTCTCTAAAAAATTCTCACTCCATCCGGGTTTACTAGTCTCCTCGTTTTTATGATTATATTTTGACCATAAATTTAACAAATAAAATATAAGTTATGTGAAGCAAATATAACATCAATGAAAATCATATTAAATATGAATTCGACAATATAATTTTTAGTGACATGTATTAACATTTTGCTAGCTTAATATGTGCTCCAAGTTTGGCCCAAAATACAATGAGGACCAAGAAAACCAGACAGAGGTAGTACGATTGAGAATTCTGTGGAGTGCAAACAATTCAGAGAATCATCAATCCGGTGTTGAGTTTCATGCAAGAATTCATCGGTTTTTTAACTTTGGGGAAAAAAATCAAATTGCTACAACCCGCTGGACATTTTCTAAATTTTGTACATGTATAGACAATTTTATAAAGTTATGGCCTTATGGGTGGCCGTAGATAGACACAAATAAAATCACATAGCCATGACATGTACGAGCATGGCATGGGCAATGGAGAGCAATCATCATATACTAACACCATTGTCTCCTAATTTTTCTCGATCTGTATATGTGTAAACAAATTAATAATGTTATCGGCAGCTGTAGATAGACCCAAATAGAAATTATACAGCCGTGCCATGTTTGCTAACTCTCATACAATTTAGAATTCTTTAGAGTGCAAGCCATACGGAGAATCGACAATCTGGAGTTAGAGTTTCATGCAAGAATTCATCAGTTTTCTAACTTTGAGAAACAAAAACAAAGTCAAATTGCTAGGATCCGCTAAATATTTTTGAGATTTCTATATGCATGAACAAACTTGTAAAGTTAAGGGTGGCCGTAGATTTGTTTTAGGGATCCCCACATTTTATATTAATTTAAAGCAAAATTCATAGGGATGCAAAAGAGACATAGAAGCCACAAGTGACGACCCTTAGAAGCAAAACAGAAAATTTTAAAAGATTGTGTGCCTCCTTGTTTGAAACTCGGCCCTCGAACATAAAATTTCAGCTAACAAAACTTACCCTCCTTGTATATATCTCCTTCACAATTGTGATATCTCCTCTTATGTGGTATGTATGCTCTGTGGCGGTTGCTTTATTTATAAAGCGGGGCGAAAGCCTTTTTCGGTATATGCGGGCAAATAAAAATCACATAGCCATGCCATGTACTCCCTCCGTCCGAATACGTCTAGATACATCTCTTTTTATCCATTTTGATGACAAGTATTACCGGACGGAGGGAGTACGAGCATGACATGGGCCATGGAGAGCAATCATCATATACTAACACCATTGCCTTCTAATTTTCGTACGAGCATAGCATGTGAGCTAGCATCACATAATTAATGACACCAATGCCTAACAGTAGCATGATGTGAGGTGTAGCCATGCCACAACTCCACATCATGCATGCCGAGCAAATAATTGGCATCTCGGCGGCCACAGCCTCCTTAGCTTAATATCCCCCCACTATATAAACGACCCACGAAACTGAGAACCCTCGCCACCATCACCAAAATCAAGTGTTCTTGCATCAACACATGGGCATGGCTCCCCTCGTCCGCTCGTTGCCTCTCCTCGTCCTCCTAGTCACCCTCTCCAGCACCACATTACCTTCCTCCCGTGCTATGTCCGGCGATGGAGACAAAAATGACCTGCTGATGCTGGGTAGGTTCCACCGGTGGATGTCAGCGCATGGCCGGACGTACCATAGTGCCGCCGAGAAGCTGCGGCGGTTTGAGGTGTACCGTCGCAACGTGGACCTCATCGATGCCTCCAACAGGGAGGCCGAGAGGCTCGGCTATGAGCTCGGTGAGAACGAGTTCACCGACCTCACTAATGAGGAGTTCATGGCGTGGTATGTCGGTGGCGCTTATGGTGGAGCCGGTGATGGTGGTGGTCTCATCACTACTTTAGCCGGAGATGTTGCAGAGCAGGCAGTATCATCCAAGAACGCCGTCGAGGAGGATCGTAATTTAACGATGACCGCCGCTGACCCTCCCCGGCATTTCGACTGGAGGGAACATGGTGTTGTCACGCCTGCCAAGCAACAAGGGGCATGTGGTAAGAAATTTATATGGCATGCATGCGTGTGGTTACTGGTTACACACCTGAAACAACCTTGTTGCACAATATTGCTGTAGGATGCTGCTGGGCATTTGCTGCAGCGGCGACGGTGGAGAGCTTGAACAAGATAAAGGGCGGGGAGCTGGTTGACCTGTCCGTGCAGGAGCTGGTTGACTGCAGCACGGGTGTGTTCAGCTCGCCATGCGGCTACGGGTGGCCCAAGAGCGCACTCGAATGGATCAAATCAAAAGGCGGCCTCTTCACGGAGGCCGAGTACCCCTACTTGGCCAAGCGAGGCAGATGCGCGGTGCACGACGCAGCCCGCCGCGTCGGCAAAATCACCGGCGTCCAGGATGTACGGCCGGGCAGCAGCGAGAGCGCGCTGGCGCTGGCCGTGCTCGGGACGCCCGTGACTGTCCAAATCGACGGGAGCGGCCCCGTGCTGCAGAACTACAAGTCCGGCGTGTACAAGGGGCCGTGCACCACCAGCCAGAACCACGTGGTGACGGTGGTCGGCTACGGGGTCACCGGCGCCGGAGAAGAGTACTGGATCGCCAAGAACTCGTGGGGGCAGACCTGGGGTCAGAAGGGCTTCTTCTTCGTGCGCAGAGGAGCCGACGGGCCCCGCGGGCTGTGTGGCATCGCCATGTACGGTGCCTACCCCGTCATGTAGTTAGTGCTATATCATAATAGTCTGCGCGCTGGGTATACTACATATGACGCGCAGCGTAATGTGGAATTAAAATAAGCTGCATCAATGCATGTGCACGCACATGCTGACTGTGAACGATGATGCCACGGATACCTATGGCTGGATCTACGCTAAATTACTTTGGCACCGTACCTGTAGATGATACGATATATTACTATATATATTTGTGTGGCCCTACGTGTGGTGTTATGTCTATGTTTTGTCAGGTGTATGTGCTTGAAATGTAAGTGCAAGTTCTTAATAATCCAACACAAATCGTTTGGGCTTGAACACATCATTCATGAGTTCTTGAAACGTTGCAGGAGCATTTGTAAATAGAGGCGCAAATAGTTCTCTTAGATCTATTGCAATGTGGAAGACCCATTTATAAACATGTTGAAGGGATGTGTTGGGGAGACATCTCTTTTCCAACAGACACCTTCTGGGAGGCACCCTTCCATACAATTGATCACATGTTTTTATTTCTTAATACTACATATGATTAAAAAACTTATAGTTGCAGTTCCACATGTGTATGCACTAGTGCAGAATCGGGTTTTAGTCCCAGTTCGTAACGACCGTTAGTCCCGATTCGCCAACCGGCACTAAAAGATGGGTACTAAAGCCCCCCACCCCCTAGTGTCGGTTTGTCACGACCCGGGACCAAAGGCCCACCAAATGATGCGAGCCCGCACCGGGGGGCTGGGGGCCTTTAGTCCCGGTTGGTTACACCAAGCAGGACTAAAAGGTTTAGGGGTTTAGGGGTTTAAGGTTTTTTTTTTTATTTTATGTTTTTCATTAATTCTTTTTCATTTCAAAAGGCGGCCTCCTTACGGAGGCTGAGTACCCCTACTTGGCCAAGCGAGGCAGATGCGCGGTGCACAACGCCGCTCGACGCATCGGCAAGATCACCGGCGTCCAGGAGGTGCAGCCGGGGAGCAACGACAGCGCGCTGGCACTGGCCGTGCTCAGGACGCCGATGACCGTCCAGAACGATGGGAGCAGCTCCGTGCTGCAGAAGTACGAGTCCCGCGTGTACAATGGGCCTTGTACCACCAGCCAGAACCACGTGGTGACGATCGTTGGCTATGGAGTCACTGCCGCCGGGGAAGAGTACTGGATCGCCAAAACTCATGGCGGCAGACGTGGGGTCAGAAGGGCTTCTTCGTGCGCAGGGGAGCCGACGGGCCCTGCTGGCTGTGTGGCATCGCCATGTACAGTGCCTATCCAGTCATGTAGCTAGTGTATACTCCCTCTGTTTCATAATGTTGTGCCTATAAATTTTTACAAAAGTCAAACATTACAAATTTTGACCATGTTTATAGAAAAAAGTAGGTACATCTAGAATACCAAATGCACGTTATTGGATACATTGTGAGTTATATTTTTAGAATGTACATGTTTGGTATTGTAGATGTAGACAGTTTTCTCTATACATTTGGTTAAAATTGACAAAGTTTGACTTTTACAAAAATCTATAGACATTACATTGCGGAATGGAGAGAGTATCATATAGTCTACGCGCCGGGTATACATATGACACGTAGCGTAATGTGCAAATTAAATAAGCTGCATCCATGCATGTGGACGCACATGCTGGCTGTGCGAACGATGATGCCACGGATGGATGCATTGCTGGATCTGCCCTAAATTACTTTGGCACTGTATCTACAGATGATACGATATTGTACTATATATGTGTGTAGTGCTACGTGTGCTGTGATGTGTATGTTTTGTTAGGTTTATATGTTTGAAATGTAAGTGCAAGTTTTTAATAATAAGTTATCTACTACGTATATTACTAAAAGAAAAGACAAACAAGCAACCAAGTTCGTTCACATATGCTTAAAATATATACTCCATAAATTTTAAATACAATGATTGAGATTAAAGATAAAAGGGATACCCACAAGCCAAATTATGTACATAAAGTGCATTAAATTTCACCTACTTGGAAAGGAATTTCTTTCACAAAATAAATACTTAGAAGTTGTACACGGAGCTACGCATGATTTTGACCGCTCAAACAAATCATGGATGCACATGTGCCTGGGTCCGGCTAGGAAGAAAGTTGGGGTTGTAGATGTTGTAGTATCAAAGTAAAGAGACAAAATAGAGACACAAATGGTTCTCTTAGATCTATTGCAATGTGGGAAACCCATTTATATACATGCTTAAGGGATGTGTTGGGGAGATATCTCTTTCCCAACAGACACCTTTTGGAAGGCATCTCTCCCATACAATTGATCAAATGTTTTTATTTCTTAGTAGTACACATAGCTACACACGATTCAAAAAGTTATAGTTGCACTTGCACACGTGTATGTGTCCATTTAGGACATGGATCAAACTTACTGCACACGTGCATGTGTCCAGCTAGGAGGGATCAAACTAGCTAGCTAGAGGGATAAGCGAGAGTTTCATTTGAAAGATGCATAATTACAATGAAAGAGTTCCATATCTGACACTATTTTCAATTCTGTTAGCCTATTTGACACTGAAAAACATTTTCTTTCCTGTTTAACAGCGAATCCAATTTTCGTTTTGCTTTCTATGACACTTGTGTCCAGTTAGTTGTATTTTCTGAAAAATATGCTACTTTGTCTCTTTACTTCCCTCCGTAAGGCGGTTTTATACCCTTACTAGATCGTTGCCGGCGCGTTGCTGCGCCCGTCAATTTTAACTTTAATCATCATATAATCACACATTATATTTAACATGCTCACACATATGAATCATGTTGTTTGACCCGAAATTTAACTGACGGTGTGTGCGTTTGTGCATGTTTATTTTTTCACGAGCATGTTAGTTATTGGTGGAACAAATATTTTAAGTTGATTATTATGCTCCTAGGAATGTGTTAGATGTTAAGAAGGTTGGCAATAGTATGATTTTGTATAAGAATACTCCCTTCTTGTTGGTTTATTGGGCGCTCTTTACTTCATTGACAATATATTTGTATACTTTCAACCATTCCTGCATTAAGCATTTTCTAAAGATCAGACGTTACACTTATACTATTGTACAACACATCAAGATTCAGATCATAACATAACGAACCTACACCGATTTTAATTGAATAGAAATTGAGGAATACGAGCATCCATATTGTGCAAATTACATGTCGCTAACATTTTAATTTTATCCAAACTGATTCAACTTACTGGAATACAATAAGGAATAGAACAAGGGCACTAACATTTCATTTTCTATATAGAAACAAACAATTCAACTTACTGGCACTAATTAACCTTAGTAAAATTAACCGATCCATTCATACAATCAGTTTCCCCCCGAAGGCAAAGTAATAATGTGTGCAACCCAAGAGGGGACTTAACACTATTTATCAAACAAAGCTTAGGGGAGTCAAACTCATCTCATAGCTCTAGCAGAATGCGTCATGCACAACCAAACTGCATCTTGCAGTCAAGTAGCTGCAGTAGCTTCTGATTTACTTGCTCGTACTTTAGCATCCACGCCACGAAAATACTTAACAGGTCAACAATTTTTGGGGTATACATCATGTTCATCCTACGCGGATCCAGTCATAGGTACTGCTCATTTGTTAGACTCAAGTCTGGTCAGCAACTGCCACATTTATTCCATTGTGTTCGCTGCAAAAATAAAAATAGTATGAATTCTTAAAAGGCAAAATTGCAAGTTTTGCATTACCTGTAAAGTCGACTATCAAATAGAACAAGGACTAAGTAAAAGACTGAGATAATGTACAGGTTCAGCTTCTCAATCGAATTCACTCCATACAAAGAGATGTGCTCCTGTAGCTAATATTCATTCTACATAAGGCCCCATTTAGCATATCTGATCAAATGGCCAGAGCTAATGAACTCGACACCCACTCAAATTCTGCCCCACCACCTACTCAATTTCCACTCCACCTACTCCCATTTATTCCTCTCCTTTGTCCATAATTACAATCTTCTCTCTATGTTCCTGACATGAACAATATGCTACATAAATATTTGGTGTATCATAAAATGGACTACATCTGCTTGTAGTCTCACATGTTTCAATTTTTTTTTACAATATGCCGATGCAGCCCTAGACGATAAATTGCATTCTTGTACTACTTCTCTATCCCCAACTTCTAAGTTGTCTTTGTTATGTTTAGATAAATGATTTCATGACGACATCCTAATCTAGAGTACATATTTTGTTGTAATACGTAAAGCTGATAAGTACATATTGCATTGGGAGGGACAAGCGAGGGAGCTTATATTATACAGTACAACACAGGTTGGAAAGTAGAAAGACACACACCTTCATTAATCGCCGTCAACGACCGGCATACATCATCCACCACGAACGACTCTAGAGACTGAAGATTAATTGCCTTCTTCAAATCCCAAAGGATCACACGCATCAGATGGATCCCCTCGTAGACAGATCGCATGCATCGGTTGTATCCAAGGATCCGCGCGTCGCCTGCATCGCGCTCGGCTGGATTGAGCCAGTCAACCCCGTCGACCTTCCATCTGCCGTTATTAATTTGATTGTTAATTAGATCATTGCTGGCGCGCATTGCCGCGCCCATGCATTTCTTCGGTATAATGGTAGGAAATTCGTAAATATATGATGAAATGTAATATGGATGTTAAATACTCCCTTCGTCCATAATATAAGACGTTATTACATACAATATGCAAGCAATATTGAATGTAATAACGTCTTACATGACTGAGGGAGTATAACAAAATAAGTTGCTTGGATTTAAGGGCAACAAACTGAATATTCAGGTTAGCAAAACAGAGCACCGGTACTTGTTTTAGCAGCCAAACAAATAATAATTCATCTAATGGATGGTGATTAAGTATGCAGCAAACCAATCTGACTGGAATCATCACTAAATCTTGAGGTGACAAACTCGGAAAAAGAAATCTCTTCAAGTAAGGGGACGTACAGACAACACCATGGAGGCACAATACAAAGATTCACGCCGCGGGAGGAGATGGATCGAGAGGGACTGGGCTATATGTTCGTCACTTCACACCACCACAAGAGGTCACCGTCGTCTCAGTATAGAGTTAACTGAATGCCAAGAGTTTGTAGTGTCAAGCAACCAAAAAAATAATACCTTTTGCCCCTGAGAAGAGCTTGGCTTGTGCCCCTGAGAAGAGCTTAGCATCAAGCCTAAGTAGCCTTTTCCAAGCAGGTAACGTCTATTTTGCTGGACATAATTAAAATGGCTCCAGCAAATCTAAAATTCTAGCAACTAAGATTTATGAATTGCATCATGATTAACTTCAACAGTCGATAGTGGCTACCAGCTGAGAATGCACAGCTCCCTTAGAACAAGTGAAACAATTTGAGAATTCTACCCAAAAAAAAAACTATCTAATATCAGTGTTATCCGTCAAAAAAAATCTCAGTGCTATTAAAATCTATATAAGAAAGGCTATGCTACTACAGATATTACATGGCTTTGCAAAACCAATGAAAGTAGGTAGGCAAGAACATCAAGCTTCAGGTAAACCGAGCCTACCCACTGAGTTATGCAATTAGATTTAATAAGGTAGCAGGCAACACGTTTGATCACAAATTACACCAACTAACTTCTCATTAACAGTGTCTGATGTGGAGGATATGGAGTGAAGTGAAATACAAAGGCCAAGTCAGACCACATCTAGTGATCTGGTGCATCTGGGAATATGCAACGTCCCTTCTGAATAATCACTAAACTATTGACAGAAGGATTTAAGTTTAGCATAACTAAAAAGGATCCTAAGAATGCAATAAGTAGGTATATGTTTCCTAGCAGAGAGAGAAGGACGTGATCAGCAATGGCAAAAGCAAATCTGCACATAGTAAATGACCTGATACAGTTAGACTATACAACAAGAAAAGCTGGAACAAAATGATTCACAAAGTTTACAAACTTAACTTACAGCATCTGGATCAGGCTATAAAAAACTTAAAATATGTATGTTCTCTTGCTGAAGAGGCTCTACTTAGGTTTTTATTTTTATTTTTTTTCTTTCTTTTTTTTTGCGAGGGAGGCTCTACTTAGTTTGCACGACTGAAATTCTTTTCTGCAGTTTTGCTCAACATCATTAAGTCTCAAAAGTTTCATTTGCATCCTACTGATGCACTTCCCACAGATGTACTTATTTTCTATTCAGCACTAAATCTTTGCCTCGGCCAACCACGGATGCCGGATGGATCTTCACTTCACGGATCACACATCCATCTTACAGACTGCAATGAACTCCTCCTTTCCACTGCCGT